CTTAAAAGTGAACACATATTCAACTAAATGACCAAGCGCTACCATTTAATAGACAGTCTAATTCTGATAATTTTAATTTAATGTCCAAGCGAAGTGTCATACTCAAACTGAACAGTTCAATAATTAAAACTTCACACCAAACAAAATTGCACACAAGCCAATTATCAATGATCTAAATTAACACCCAAGCCGGTCATCACCATTGTTATCAAAACATATCGATCTAGTGTGCCCACTGTTAACACAGGTAAGGTGCTGGCGTGCATTCAGCCGTGACTAATCCCCTCATTATCGTGTCTGGAAGTGTCAAACTTGTGTAAACAAAGGATTTACATACAGAAGGTAGAGGTGTGAACAAGACAATTATTATGAAAATCACTATGATAGGCGAAATTTTTGTATCAGATAAAACGAAAATCCCATATTTTCCTCTCAGAATATCAGATGAAAGTATTAATAAATATATAAGAAATGGTTTTGTGCTCTGATATTGTATCAGATTAGCCGAAATATTCGTTTAACCACTATCTGATTAAATGGAATCCACTGTATTATAATATCTTCAGTCTTAACTGGCTAAATATTATCAAACTTTGTAAGTTGATGCATTTTGGGTCTTATGATACTAATAGAGTTTGAGGCTTCTAATAGAAGTGATAGATTGTATAATTTATCAGAAGAGCGATTCAAGGCCCTTGGGCCTCTTGTACAGTTATATCAAATTTTGGATATACGAAAGTTCACTTTTATTTCACTTGACATATTGGATGTGTACTTTTCGGTTCCTTAGTTTAAGCAGGATTGATGATGATGATGCAAGTTGTTACGCATTATCAGTTCATGGAATGGAAACACTACCGGTGATTATTAAAAGTCATAAATATACCTTGTACAATGTACGTTTTATATAATTATACCCCCGCTCCGAAGGAGAGGGGGGTATACTGTTTTACCCTTGTGTGTCTGTCTATCTCCCTGTCCGTGTGTCCGTCCGAAACAAATTTTCGTCGCAGTTTTCTCAGCAACTACTCATCGTAGATGCTTGAAATTTTAACACAATCTTCTCTGAGGCATGCCATATGGTGGGATACATTTTTGCTCAAATCCGATGTCAACTTCCTGTTTGTCTGTGCGTCTGTCCATTTCATACATGACAAATTTTCGTCGCAGTTTTCTCAGCAACTACTCATCATAGATGCTTGAATTTTTAACACAATCTTCACTGAGGCATGCCATATAGTGGGATACATTTTTGTTCAGATCCGATATCAACTTCCTGTTTGTCTGTGCGTCTGTCCGTTTCATACATAACAAATTTTCGTCGCAGTTTTCTTAGCAACTACTCATCGTAGATGCTCGAAATTTTAAACAATCTTCTCTGAGGCATGCCATTTGGTGGGATACATTTTTGTTTAGATCCAATGTCAACTTACTGTTTGTCTGTGTGTCTGTCCGTTTCATATAACAAATTTTTGTCGCAGTTTTCTTAGCAACTACTCATAGGAGATGCTTGAAATTTTAAAACAATCTTCTCTGAGGCATGCCATATTGTGAGATACATTTTTGTTTAGATCCGATATCAACTTCCTGTTTGTCTGTGCGTCTGTGTGTTTCATACATAACAAATCTTCGTCGCAGTTTTCTCATTAGCTACATGTATTCATAGCAGATGCTTGAAATTTTATTACACTCTGTGTTGAGGCATATGCCATATGGTGGGATTAATTTTGATATGAATCTGATGTCAATTTCATATTTTGCTGTGCATCTGCTTGTAATTGAACTTGTGTATATTAACATGATATTGCTTATTTACATCAGAGCGGGGGTATTACTAGTGAGCATTGGCTCACAGATTTCTTGTTAAGTTTCACAGTTAATTTTCTCGTAGATTGGAAATTGTAATTAACAAAAGCAATGATATATAAAATACTGCAACATGCCGCACTGGTAGTAGGCCAAGTTAGTTGAAGAACTTGGCCATCCCTAGACAGGCTGCACTGGTAGTTGGTCAAGATAGTTGACGGACTTGGCCATCCCTTGATAGGTTGCACCGGTAGTTGGTCAAGTTAGTTGGTGGACTTGACCATCCCCTGACAGGCCGCACTGGTAGTAAGCCGAGCTAGTTGACGGACTTGGCCATCCCATGACAGGTCGCACTGGTAGTAGGTCAAGTTAGTTGACGGACTTGACCATCCCTTGAAAAGCCGCACTGGTAGTAAGCCAATCTAGTTGATGACTTGGTCGTTTGTTGACAGGCCGCACTGGTAATAGGCCAAGTTAGTTGAAGGACTTGACAGGCAGCACTGGTAGTCAGCAGAGCTAGTTGATGGACTTGGCCATCCCTTGACAGGCCACACTGGTAGTCAGCCAAGCTGGCCAAGGGACTTGGCTGGTGGTCTGCGCCCCTCATTTAGGGACTGAGCTGGTCAGACGTCTTGGCTGGTAGGCAGTGTGACTGGCAGTCGGCTAAGTTTTCGTTGAAATATGCTTGCAATTTCAACCTTCAAATCATTTTTCTTCAATTCTGCAAAAAATTGTTAAGGTTCAGAATTTAATATTTAGGTAGTTTATTTTCAGCACTCATCTGCATATCACATTGAATTCACTCTTTCATATTTAATTCAAATTCATTAATTCATCCATAACATGGAAAAAAAGACTATAATTATAGATCTATACTTACAGGAATTAGCTTTACATTGATAGATTTATTAAAATTTAAATTTTGAAATGAAAGAAAAAAATATTTACTTTACCTTAAACATGTAATATTTTGAAGAATTTCACGTACTTCAGGTTTGGACAGATTCAGTGAGATGCTCATAAAAACATCATGTACCAGTATTCCGCTTTAATAAAAAAAAATCAGAAAATTAATCTTAAATTACTCATTTCATTGCATGAATTAACATTGCAGCTAGATCATGTTATGACCATGCTGATGTATATAAGGCTTCACAATATTTTAACAGTTCAGGGAATCTGTAAACAATTGTGGGAATAAATATGACAAAGAACAACATATTTTATTAAGAGGCAGTCCACCGAAATACCAGGCAGTATTGTATTGATAGGCGGCACATCGAATGTGACGAATATTTGATATTTTATTGAAAACATTATCAATGTAGTCCAAATGGAATAATGTAATCAAAGATTTGTTTTAAAATTGCTTATTTAGTAAAATATCCTTTTCTTTTGTGTTCTTGAGTTTCCCTATATAAACCATTGAATTTAGGTCAGAAACAAAGAACTGTAATTTCCAATACATTTTTAACAGGACTATAATTCATGCTGAACTAAATCTAGAAATATTTCATCTTTCTGTTTCAAAAATAAAATCGGTGGGAAAACACTTTTGACTTAGTTTTCTGGCAAAGTTTATAGATGTTTTTATGAAATTTTGCAATGCAAGAGTTATCTCCCGTGGCATCGATAAATCTGCAACACACCTTACTATCGGAATCCTAGTGCAATATTTAGAATCGTTACACTAAAGAAAATTATTAAAACAAAAAATAACTACTTTGTTTTTAGCTCCCCCGAGCCGAAGGCTCAAGTGAGCTTTTCTGATCACATTTTGTCTGGCGTCCGTCTTTCTGTCTGTCTGTCCGTCTGTAAACTTTTCACATTTTCGACTTCTTCTAAAAAACCACTGGGCCAATTTTGACCAGACTTGATACAAAGCATCCTTGGGTGAAGGGAAATTTAAATTGCTAAAATAAAGGGCCAAGTCCCCTCACAAGGGGAGATAATCAAGAAAAGACAAAAATAGGAAGGGGTCATTAAAAAATCTTCTTCTAAAGAACCACTGGGCCAGAAAAGCTGAAACTTATGTGGAAGCATTCTGGGGTAGTGTAGATTCTAAATTGTAAAAATCATGACCCCCCGGAGGAAGGGTTGGGGCCACAATGGGGAATCAAAGTTTTACATAGAAATATATAGGAAAAATCTTTGAAAATTGTCTTCTCAAGAACCACTGGGCCAGAAAAGCTGAAACCTATGTGGAAGCATCCTTGGGGTAGTGTAGATTCTAAATTGTTAAAATCATGACCCCCGGGGGAAGGGCGGGGCCACAATTGGTAATCAAAATTTTACATAGAAATATATAGTCTTATAAAATCTTTGAAAATCTTCTTCTCAAGAACCACTGGGCCAGAAAAGCTGAAAATTATGTGCACATGGAAGGATTCCTGGGTAGTGTAGATTTCAAAATGTCTAAATTATGATCAGTGTGGTAGGGTGGGGATGCATTATTCATTACAAGGGGGAAATCTGGTAAAGAACAGAATGGTCAAAGCTTCTCAGGTGAGCTATGTGGCCCATGGGCCTCTTGCTAAATTTTAAAACCACTGGATTCTACTGACAGTGAAGAAACACTTGGGAAAAGCTAAAAACTTGCTAAAATACAATTAGATACCTCGGACCTGCTCTAAACATGTTACGACAATGACTAATTGTTCCTAACATCGAACCCTAGCGGCAGTTGAAAGGCCTATATATAGTCTTGGAGATAGTGATAAATGGGGGACAGATTAGAACTTAATTTATGAATTGTTACTAAATATTAGACTAATTATTTCATTTTTCCTGATCATCCTATTTCTCTTGTTTTTAGCTCACCTGAGCCGAAGGCTCAAGTGAGCTTTTTTGATCACATTTTGTCCGTAGTATGTCCATCCATCTGTCCGGTCGTCCATCCGTCCCTCTGTAAACTTTTCACATTTTCAACTTCACAAGATCCACTGGGCCAAATTTAACCAAACTTGGTACAAAGATCCTTGGGGGATGGGGAGTTTAAATTGTTAAAATAAAGGGCCAGGTCCCCTTCTAAGGGGAGATAATCAAGAAAAGACAAAAATAGGGTGGGATCATTAAAAAATCTTCTTCTCAAGAACCACTGGGCCAGGAAAGCTGAAACTTATGTGGAAGCATCCTGGGGTAGTGTAGATTCTAAATTGTTCAAATTATGAGCCCCTAGGGTAGGACGGGGCCACAATAGGGTCCGCCAACGGCTTATCTCCCCCTTGCGCCGCTAGAGGTGCTGGTGTATTATGAGGTATTCGAGATAAACATGGCGTACGCTTCGTACACAGTGCCGAAACTGAAAAAAGAATTAATATTACGCGGCGCTGTAACGACGGGAAGGAAAACCGATCTCATAGAAAGGTAAGAAAACATTAATTCTGTTACATGCAAACCTTATTCATTGAAGTAATCCTTATATAAGTTGTATTATAACGGTATTCAGAGTCATGTGGTGCTATGTAGTGAAATGAAAACAATGTTGAACATGCATTCAAAACATAAAACATAGGCCTGTACTTCACGCAGGTTGGAAGCATACGAACGGAATTTCAACTTTAGTGGTCCCGTCATAGAACTGCCAGCGGAAAGGGATGTAGAATGGCCAACTACTGGTTATAAACAAATGACATCGACCATCATGACCTTTTGCCACACATAACAGAAGCCCATATCGAAGGTAATATTACTATGAATTTGGATATCAAGGGAGACTTGCTTAGGCAGTTAAGTTTGTATTTGAAATGTGTATTTGTTTTATGTCACATATGAAATGTAACAGTCTTGAAAATTTTATATCAGAAATAAATATGTCAGCATGCAGGAGTAAAATTCATATTTTCTTTTGGAAATTTTAGGATATTTTCAATATAGACAAGCAGTCGACAGACAAATGATGGGCAATACAAAGGCCATTGTGAAAGGAAAATTACTGCTGGAGTCAGAGAGAGTTGAAGCACTGAGCATTAACTGTCAAGATGAAGACTTTTTCCTTACAGGATTTGTCAGAGCTGCAATGAAGAAAAAGGTAGTTTTTTATTTAATAAATGAACAATAAAAATTAAAAAAAGAAATCAATGTGTGTTTATAGTGTGAATGTAGAGCCAGTCAAAATTAGTTCTTATGTGGTGAAAATATATGGCTATATTTAACAGGTGTCTTACAATTATCATGTAAGAATTGACAGAAAAACGGGTGAAATTAAAAATTCAGACTGTGAATGCCCTGCTGGGAAGGGCCCCAATGGAACCTATAAACATGTAGCTGGTGTTGTTTTGCTCTTGGTGAAATTTCAAAACACATATACGAGGGTTGTTCGAAAATTAGCATTGTGTATATTTTGCTTTCTAATGAACGTCTTTCACTGAAAATTGGCATATACGTTTGACATACACCAAAAATTAATAAGAGCAAGAAATATTTTACAAATATTCAAATTTTTTCTACAATGGTTATATAAATGTGTCAATAAACCCTCTTTTAGATGTTGAAATATGCCCAAAATGTGGATCCATAATGAAAAAATGTTCAGTTCTGTTATTTTTTCAGCTAAGGTTCAAATTCATGTTGTGCAACTTTGATAGAATTTTGATCAGAAATACATATTAAAAAATTGAGCGCGGTATCTGCTAACAACGAAAAAATGGATCTTGACGTCAAGAGCGGAGCAGCCAGCATACCTAAAATTTTGTGTTGCACAATGTAGAACTCTTTTCAAGACTGAACGACCTGCTAAAACAATAACAACGAGGGAAAAAATGATGTGTTATGGTTTGTTATTTCATTGGTATACATTTTTTAACAATTAAACTAGAGTAAAATTAAAAGATTTTTATTACGTAATCGTTTTTTTAACCCGCATTGATGATTGGCACTGATGATCAATAAATGTAAATTTTTGTAACATATATTTTTAAAGAATAGTTTAAAAAAAGAGAATGTTTTTAATGTTATATATGTAATAAGTAACAAAGAAGGAAGAGTATTAAACGCTACATGCGACAATCTACGGCTTGTATAAAATTTTTTTAATGTTTGGATGATGAATTTTCATGAAATTATCTCCGTCCTTTATGGAGTAAATGTAATTGTCTCAATAATTTCCGAACAGCCCTCGTAATAGCTATTCCTACGGGATTTAGACTTTTCATAAGAAAAAACTCTTTTAAAGTTGAACTAACTGTGTTAAAAAAATGTTTCTTTTGTTTAATTTGACATTTTTTTGAGGTTTTTAGTTTTTTACACAAGTGTCATATAAAAAGATTTTCAATATAATGTTTGGATGATGATGATGATGATACCATTTAAACATATATATTTTTAAGTTGCAATTTCATAAATTTACAGTTTGTTGAGTTGTTTTTGAAGGTTTAATGGATTATTTCGCACGCATGCAAAATATTTTTGTGTTCAGTATTAAACTTTGTCGATTGATACATGTGATCTAAAAATTTCCAAGCAATGTGGATATAGTAAACCATGAAAATAAAATCAATAAAAAGTTTTATATGAATACATTTATGCAAATATTAAATTACACAAGTACTTATATTCAGTATATGACTTTGTAAAGAAAAACACTACAGGAGTATATATTTGATAAACTAAAATAGAATAAAATGGAATTCGCTAGTGTCATTTTCTTAAAAAAAAATAACATCCAACTTATTTTAAACCTTTGAATTTTACAGGCTCCCCCATAAAAGCTGAAGACATGCCTTGTCGGTATAATCCAGATCTTAGTGACCCTAGGCCTCAGAAATACAGAGGAATAGCTGGATACAATGATTACGTGAGCAACATTGTAACCAACTACTGTGCTGCAACATCTGCAGATTTGGCTTTCAAGTACATAAAGCCCAAGGCATTGATCAACATTGCAGTATTAGACCATGATTACTTGGACCTGCCATTCACCGAATATTGGATAGATGCAGCTCAAAAGCCAAAAGGTATATTAATATACCCGGTAAATAAAATATTTTGTAAAATAGTGAAGAAATTGTTTTTGTGAATCTTGATGAATTTGAAGATATTCTTTGGTATACTGTATAAAGAATTTCTAATTTTTGTACAGGTATCAGATAGGGACATCGCTCGCATTGAACACGGAACGAGGAAACAGAGCCTGTCGAAAGTTTGGCACCGTGAAAGAGAATGGCGTTTGACAGCTTCCAGGTTTGGGGATATTTGCAAAGCTACCGATCGACGCAACAGACTGAAGCTGTGTTCTAGCATCTTAAAACCTCTTAAATTAAAAACACTTGTTGTCCTACATGGCCAACAATATGAAGCTTTGGCAAGACATGTATTCCAAGACAAAACGGGTTTTAAAGTCAAGACTTGTGGCCTTTTTGTAGATTTAGAGAATAATTATTTGGCTGCTTCGCCAGATGGTATTATTGGAGAAAGTGCGATTATTGAAATCAAATGTCCATATAAGGGTAGAGATCGTAAGATTGCTGCAGATAATTTTTCCCATTCTTGCAAGAGGATGATGATGGTGTATTGCACTTGAAACAGAGTCATAATTATTACATGCAGGTGCAAGGGCAGCTTAATGTGTGTAAAAAAGAGAAGTGTTTCTTTATTGTATACACATTTGTTGATATTTTTGTGGAAGAAATTAATGTTGAGAGAGATTACTGGTGTGGTTGCATGTTACCAAAGCTAGAGTTGTTTTATAAGAAACACTACAGAAAATTTCTTGTTGAAAAATTGTAAATTGGTGTCATTATCAATCTGCAGTTGAAGTTATTGTCAATGAAAACATGTATAATGAACAAAAATTTCATTTATTATTTATATAGATACTGGTAACGATACAATGTTCATGTATAGAAAAGCCTTTTTTCAGCTCTAAAGATCAGCAGTTCAGCACAATATTTTAATTGATTATCACATAATGTATTGTTTAATGCTGTTTTAATGGATAACTTTTTTGTTATTGACATATTGTTTTATATCATAACAAAAAACAATTTTTCAATATTCATCATGGAATTAAGATTCATTTGATTTGAGGGAAATTATTGTGAAGTTATTACATGTAATAATTAGAAAACAGGTACATGTATAAAGGTGTTTAGATATTATGTAGATATATTCATTTTCTGTTTTAAGGCAAAAACTGTATCGGAAGTGAAAGTTAGAGTAGTAGTACATGTAACTGGTATGTGAAGATGTTAGCTTTAATAATGAAATTGTAAGTAAACTGAAAAGAATCATGTTTCATTAGTACAGCATGTAATAAATGATGTATCCACCATTATTTGGAATCTTAGTTCTTTATTATGAATATTTGTCAACAATGCAAGGTCTAAAATTCAGTACTGAAAAACAAATGAATATAATTCTGAAGCCTAAAAGAGCTTTTCCCTGTGGAAGCTCTTTCTTGAGGATTTTAAAAGTCTTTGCCAGTCCAATGATCCTCTCCACATGAGTACGCTTGGAGGCGATTCTTCGATCTTTGACAACATCTTGTGCCTCAAGCTGGCTTTTTCCTTTTAACATTGTTGGTGTGTTTACTTGAATGTTACGAGAAGCAAACAAATCCTGGACCATGATGCCCCTGTCGGCCATTATACTGTCATGGTCTTGAAATTTGTCTTTTTCTAGTAACAAGTCAGACCGTTCAATGATTTGTCTGTCACTTGTGGCACCACAGTAAGCATCTGAAATATAACTAACAGTACCACGTGGTGTGCAACCAATCATGACCTTTAGTGTATTTTTGTTCTTATAATTGGAAAAAGTAGCACTTTGGGCATTTTCATTCTGGGGCTTATTTATTGGGACCTCGTTGGCACCAAGTATTACTCTAGTTTTGTTAAAATTCGCAAAGAAGTCATCGGGCATATACTCATCTATTACTGATCTAGAGGGCCAAATGTTAAGCTCTTTAAGTTGAAAGTACATAAAGTTAATCCATGTAACAATGATATTTGAAACAGTACTTTCACTAACTTGAAACAAATAACTCAGCTCAATGTCTTCTTTTGCTTGTCTCAATTTCATCATAACTAAAAATAACTGGTCTTGTGGGGAAAGTAAGTTGCTCTTAAGGTTTAAATCATGTGCTGCGGGACCAAGAACTTGAAAAAACATCATGAAATGGTCATAATTCTCAAAACCTGTGTAATATTTCACCATTTTATCATTACTCTGTAATTTTTCAATAGATAACCTGTTGTTTTTCCCAATGTCACATTGAACTGATAGATCTTGCAGCTTTTTTTCATCACTTTTAGGCCTATAACATTCTGAATCTCAATCTACACTAACTTCTTGCTTTGATTCCACCACCACTTCATTCACAACAAATTCACTACTAAAAACATTTTCACTCTGATCTGTATCACACTTGACTCTTTTACTTTGTCTTTGCTCTCTTGTGCTAGGTGACTCATTCTTACACACAAAGGAAAAGACAAAAGGAACAGCTTCTGGTTTCAGTCTCTTTCTTTCCCCTTAAAATAAATGAAACTCGTCTGAAGCTTACTTTCAAATTTACGTTTTCTCTTTATTTAATCATATGGTATAAAAACAATACTGTCAGATGTTTGTGTAAATGGTAAATCGAGAACCGCCAGGGTATAAAAACAGTAGGCCTAGTTGTAGGTTAACGTTAGGCTATGACCATCGTCTCATGATCGTACATTTTGGCCGTGGTTTGCGACGGGCTATGACCAGCATGCTGAATATCGCGTTGAAATAACTACCATCGTCTAAGAACGATAATTTTGAACTAGAATTATTTCCAAACTTAAAAACGTAATAATTAAATCAACAATAAGATTACGATAACGGACTAACCCAGTAATGTTGACTGAATGTAATCATCGGATGTGAAGTGATCGCCACACACCCGGTCGTGAGCAGCTGGCTCCCATAACTTTCGTGTTTTCACATCCAGTCTTCGAATCGCGACTCGCCATTTTAATTTAAGATCAGGATTCGAAGGGAACAGATGCCCATCTATCTTATTTTTACACATAGGTACACAGCAATACACTGGCATATCGACGATTTATCACAAACGCGGTTTCTAACTTAATAAAGTAAACAATATGGCGACGGATCTATACCTCATAGTACACAAGCGCCATCTGGGGGAGATAACTCTTCTTGGCGGACCTTATTGGAAATCCAAGTTTTACATAGAAATATATAGGAAAAATCTTTTAAAAATCTTCTCAAGAACCAGTGATTTAATTGGTCAGAAAAGATGAAACTTTTGTAGAAGCATCCTGGGATAGTGAAGATTCTAAATAGTAAAAATCATGACCCCCAGGGGTAGGGCGGGGCCACAATAGGAAATCCAAGTTTTACATAGAAATATATCGAACAAATACTTAAAAATCTTCTTCTCAAGAACCACTGGGCCAGGAAAGCTTAAACTTATATGGAAGCATCCTGGGGTAGAGAAGATAATAAATTGTAAAAATCATGACCCCTGGGGCGTAGGGCGGGGCCACAGTAGGAAATCCAAGTTTTACATAGAAATATATAGGAAAAATCTTTTAAAAATCTTCTTCTCAAGAACCATTGGGCCAGAAAAGCTGAAATTAATATGGAAGTATCTTGGGGTAGTGAAGAAACTAAATTGTAAAAATCATGACCCCCGGGGGTAGAGCTGGGCCACAATAGGAAATCCAAGTTTTACATAGAAATATATAGGAAAAATCTTTAAAAATCTTCTTCTCAAGAACCATTGGGCCAGAAAAGCTGAAACTTATGTGAAAGCATCTTGGGGTAGTGTAGAATCTTAATTGTTAAAATCCTGACCCCTGGGGTAGGGCGGGGCCACAGTAGGAAATCCAAGTTTTACATAGAAATACATAGGAATAATCTTTAAAAATCTTCTTCTTAAGAACCAGTGGGCGAGGATAGCTGAAACATTTGTAAAATCATCCTGGGGTAGTGTAGATCTTAAATTGTTAAAATCATGACCCCCGCGGTAGGGCGGGGCCACAATCAGGGAATCCGATTTTTATATAGAAATATATAGTAAAAATCTTCTTCTCTAGAACCAGTGGGCCAGGAAGGCTGAAAGTTAGGTGGAAGCATTCCTGGGTAGTGTAGATTCTAGATTCTTAAAATCAAGATGGGGAGGGGGGGGTAAGGGGCCACAAAAGATATAAGAAGAGGGGAAATCTGGTAAAGAACTGCATCACAAAAGTTACTCAGGTGAGCAGTGGCCCATGGGCCTCTTGTTGGGAAATAAAGCTTTATCTAGCAGTTTATTTTATACTCTATGTATCCTTAGTTGTTATATTAAATCAGGTGACTGTTCAGGCCATTGGGCCTTTTGTATGTAATGGAGAAGCGGGAAGCTCATACTGGAATTCATAGGAAGCTCATCTTTCATATAGAGATTGCTTTTGACAAAAAGGACTTCTCTACGATTTTGACACAGATTGCTTATGGTCCGCCAGTTTCAGCTGACTAAAATAAGGTCATTTTAAGAAATTTAGGGTTAATGACAGAAAAAGTTGTAAAATTCCCGTCAGGCTTAACAATAAATTTCTTAGGGGGAATCACTAGAAGTTGTTTGAGAATGTGGGTTTGTCTTGACACAGACCCAATGTTATTCTGTCAAGATCAAAGGTCACTGACAGAAAAAATTCTTTTCCATGGTATAAATTAGTAAATGAAAATCATTGGAAGCTCTTACTTTAAACACCTCAGATTACTTATGATTGGAGGTTGTGTGTTATGGCCTCTATCTAAAGTACTTTTTCTGGCAAATTCAAGGTCACTAAGAACTCTACAATTTGCCTGAATCTTATTAAAGAGATTATTTGTTTGTTTGTAACAGCTGTTGATTCATGTCCCTCGAGAATTTTTCACTTATAATGAGATGCAGTCACTTGTTAATGGAGAGCTGAAAATTTTTTCCTATACTCGGCACACATGACCATTGAACAGTTGGGGAAT